CATCTGGGGGCTCCACTGGGGTGGAGCCACTTCCAAGATCTATGGACAGGATTAGTTCCTTGTTGGCTGCTGGCTGGAGGACTCCCTCATTTCTTGCCTTGTGGACTTGAAACAGGGCAGCTCACAATATGGCTGTTGGCTTCCATCACAGCCAGCAAGAGAAAACAAGAGAGGGCAGGCAAGATGGAAGCCACGGCCTGGTTGTAGCCAGATGTCAGAAGTTAGTGAATAATATAGAAATCTGATAGGTGAAGAAAAGAGTTGCCACAAATCATCATACTCTGACTCCTATGGGAAAAAAAAAAAGTGAAATTGCTTTTGCCTTATTCTGTTAGAAATAACCAATCCCTAGGTCTAGTTACTATGCCCAGCCCATGCCCAAGGGAAGAGGATTAGACAAGGGCATGAATGTCAGAGCTAGGAATTACTGAGAGCTGTGTTAGCCAGAATTCTCTAGAGAAACTGAACCAATAGAATGTCCACACATGCGCAAGTGAGTGCACACACACACACACACAGAGAAAGAGAGAGAGATTTACTTCAAGGAATTGGCTTACACAGTTGTGGGGGCTGGCAGATCTGTGATCTGCAAGGCAGGCTGGAAATTCTGGCAAGAGTTAGTGTGGAGTCTTGAGTCCAATGCAGTCTGGAGGCAGAATTCCTTCCTCTTCCTGGGACCTCAGTCTTTTCTCTTAAGAGACCCACCCACACTGTGAATGGTAATCTGCCTTACTCAAAGTCAATAATTTAAATGTTGGTTACATCTAAAAAATACCTTCACAGCAACATCTAGACCAATGTTTGACCAGACTACTGGGCTCTATCCCCTAGCTAAGTGGACAAAGACAATTAACTGTCACAGGAGCCATTTAGAGACTGCCTTCCACATACACCAGGCTATAAAAAATGTTTTTAGCTATTTGCCCAAGAAAATAAGTTATTTTAAGAAAAAACATATATTCTACCTCTTTTTCCATGTTGTTTCCATTTTCACATGAATCATATTTTATAGAGCAGTGTATTGAAGTATATCTTATTTTTCTAAGGCCATTGTTTTGATGTTTCAAATAGTTGATATAAATGTTAACTGTTTCCTGTAGACAGCCTTTAATTGCTGGCATGTACCTTATGATGTCTGTTGACACTGTTATTCCTCCGGGAGAGAAAGGTAATTATCTTTTAGTATTTACCATCATCTCATTACTTAATCTATAGGAATGGATTTACAGTATATTTTTTAATAAGATTTTGAAATGACCTATATCTCTGAAAACTAAGCCAATTCTTTATTACCCTTAGATTTTAAATGACCTATATCTCTGAAAACTAAACCAATTCTTTATTACCCTTAGATTTTAAATAGATTTCTCTATTATTACAAGCCAGTAGTTTATTATCATCCATTCTTTTATTGAGATGCTAAGAATTGAGGCCCATGGGTAGGTACTAGGTTATATAAATGAAAGAATAAATCTTGAGTATGTTACAAATCAGTCACCCATCCTTCAGATGCCAAAGACAAACCTCATAACCTACAGTGACATAAACTACTGCAGAGAATATCAGGTTCAAAATCAAGAGGCTGGCAAATCCAAGACCAACTCAGTCTTTGAAGTTAGATATACTGAGCTTAATTCCCTATTTGTAAAATGGGGATAATAATAGCTGATTCTCCTAAACTTACAAAAGCTATTGGAATAAGTGTAATATTATTTACCAGTATATCTGATCATCTGATGAAAATGCTATGTTAAATATTACTCCTTTGTTTTTACTGGGAATCTCATAAAGGTATCAGCAAGTTTGGTCTCATTGTTACTGTTCACTTATTATCAAAGACATATTTACTGAAGAGCTACAGTGTTTTCAACAGAAAGGAAAGAGAAGTCAATGAAGTGGTTCCTTCTCAACAGGAATTGTCAATGCAGTTACCTTAGGTGTATGCAGCCAATTGTTAAGCTTTTTCAACTGCATAAATTTTCATGATAAAAGTAGCAAATGAAGCCTGTGTTTTCACTGACTGGGTATCTTGTTTTGGCTCTAGTCATTTTGTTTACTAAAGAAATTAAATGTGAGGGCGAGAGGCTATTAACTCATCTTAGGACATTGGCTGGTACATAATAGGCCCTTAACACCTGCTGAATACCTAAGTGCATGTTTACTTGATAGGAAAACCCCCATGCCTAGCATCTTGTGAATAACCTATACATACTTTTAGACAAGAATAATGTTATTTTCCAGTTGGAGAGTGACCTTTTTTTCTGTGTTTTCATTTCTAACAGTGGTGAATTCTGACATTTCATGCCATTACAAAAAGTATCCAATGCATGTGTTTGCCTATAGAGTTCACACTCACCATTTAGGTAAGAACTTAAACTACAGGTTAAATTATAAATATTTACCTTGGCACTTGCTAACGCTATAAATGTAAATTATATTTGACCTTAAATCTGTTTCAATGAAAGATTTTGCATAATACCTTGAAAATGTATGTTTTTCATCATACTGTTTTCATTAAAATACCTAGCATTTGGGGTTCTGACAATATTCAAATTTTATTTTGAAAAAGGAAAGCAAATGATGCCTTTTATTTTTCTAATACTTTATAATATTATATCATTATAATTTATGTTCATTACAGGTAAGGTAGTCAGTGGGTACAGAGTAAGAAATGGACAGTGGACACTGATTGGACGCCAGAGCCCCCAGCTGCCACAGGTATGTAGAAACTGGTTTCATTCTGAGACAAAAAAATATTAATCAACAGATAATAATCTTAGAAACCCTCATAGAATCCTTGTGAATTTCTCTAGAATCCTAACATCTCCAAATCTACCTTTATTATTTATCTAAGCTGTGTATAACCTTCCTTTTACAACTTCCAACTTGATGGTTTCTCTTAACATTTGTAAACATGCTGGTGAATTTTGTGTCTGTATGTTTGCGTCTTCTTCCTCTCTACCCAGAGTATGCCAAGCCTCACATTAAGAAAGTATGTAGTTCTGGATTTTATTGGTAATTTTAATGAATCATTGTGTTTATCTTCTTGGTAGGCTTTCTACCCTGTGGAACACCCAGTAGATGTTAGTTTTGGTGACATATTGGCAGCAAGATGCGTATTCACTGGTGAGGGAAGGACAGACGCCACGCACATTGGGTATGGTTTTGCAAATTCTGCTATTTAAAAATATTTTATTGGGGCAAGGCATGATTATAGGTGATAGTTATCTTTGTGAATGAATTGCACTTTTTTTTTTACTATCATGAACAATTATAACAAACTGTATATCACATTTTCTCATTTTAGAACTCATTAGGATAAACTCCAGAACATGTGCTTATTTTTTTATACTTCCTTTCCTCCTGTTTATTCAAAACCTTCAGTATCACATCTCTATATATTATAGATGCCACAAGAGTGTATATTACTTCCTCAGGCTCATTTAATAAAGAAAAATATAATTGATTATGAAAGTTTTTCCTCAAGTGTCCTTTTGCCCTATGTTCAAATTTAGGCAAATATATAGCTTCCACATTTGGTGGTGTCCATTAATTACTCAGAACTGTGATTTTTTTCTGCCTGTTAAAACTTCTGTGTATTCATTTTTTTCCAGTTGTTTAGTCTTCCAAGTGGGAATGATAATATTCAGCACTTTTCCAAAAGAGAACATTGAACTTTAAATAATTTTCAAAATATTGAGCCTCCTTGAAATAAGTATATTTTATAACCCTAAGTAAAATTTTCAAAGCACTATGAATACTCTTTCAAAATAGGTTTGCCTAAATTAAAAATGAAAGATAAAGTCTCGGGCGCCTGGGTGGCTCAGTTGGTTAAGCGACTGCCTTCGGCTCAGGTCATGATCTTGGAGTCCCTGGATCGAGTCCCACATCGGGCTCCCTGCTCAGCAGGGAGCCTGCTTCTCCCTCTGACCCTCCCCCATCTCATGTGCTCTCTCTCTCTCTCTCATTCTCTCTGGCTCAAATAAATAAAATCTTTAAAAAAAAAAAAAAGAAAGATAAAGTCTCTTACCATGTTTTGTTTTGTTTTGTTTTGTTGTCAGAAAAGAACCAAGGAGCCTTCTTTCCATGTTAAACTAGATTATAAAATATTTACTGATGCCACCTGGATGCTGAAGTTTTAAACCATTTATCTTTGATCAAAGAGAAGTCACAGAAAGTAGGCATCTGAAAATAGGCATTAGATGTACTAAGGATGATTCTTATGACAAAACTAGCTGTTGGTTGTCAGGGGAAAGGGAAAAGATGCTGAAGCAGGTAAAAGAAAAAAAGCATTTGAGACCGTGGAATAGGATTTTTTATGTCACTCTAAAGGGTTGTTGTATTAATAAACATCAATTTTAAGGCTAAAGATAGGACACACAGAAAAAAATATCAAGTTATATTAAACAAGAAGGTTCCAAGAGTTTTGCTTTTGGATAAATTTTAAGTTCGGGAAAGAGACTTGAGGAAAACAATAAAATTATGCCATCGCATGAATGGTAACTAAGAAAAAGCTTGACAAAGTAGACAAAATTAGATTTGAAGGAGTCAAACATTCCTTCTTACCAGCCTTCATTATCATTATTATTATTATTTTAAAGATTTTAAAGTGATCTCTGCACCCCACATGGGGCTCGAACCCACAACCCCGAGATCAAGAGTTGCATGCTCCACTGAGTGAGCCAGCCAGGCACCCAGCCTTTAAATATATGAGTCACAGGGTATTGATCAGCTGTTCTCCATTCTATGTAAGTGTAGACCCTCCACAACTTTACTTAAGTGCCATTGGTTATTTTATTAGCCTCTGAAATAGGTAAACAAAGTAGGAAAAAGTCCTTTGCAACACATTCTGTGTATTAGTGTATAAGTTCAAGTGTGGAATAAATAGAATTTTTTGCTTAAAAGTCCTTTAACAATTTAGAAGGGCTTGTAACTTGGGCCAAATTGTATCCTTTGAGTATCCTCTGTGGGGCAGGATGAAACAGAAATTAGTGACTTACTGCAATGCCAGGATGAGAGACTGAAGTAATCTCAGGAACCCTCTTTCAGTTTCAGGAATCTGGAATAATGCAGTCTTTTAACAAATGTGCATTTCTCTTTAAAATAATACCTTAAAATGACTGTACAAATCTATCTTTTTGTAAATCTCATGTGGGCTAAAGGGAATGCCATCTTGAAATACAAATGAAATAGAAAGAAATTACAAGAAGTTATTGGATGAGTCCATATTCTGAATATTTAATTTATATGAAGGTAGCATTTTTTTTCCAGTGGAATAAACTAATAAGATAGGTTTGAATAAAATTTAAATATGAATAAAAATTCTCCTAATAATGCATAGTATTCCTGCATCACTTAATATGCATTTTAGTTTTAGAGAGGTAATAGCATCAATGCATCTGTTTTATAAAATACAGGATACCACTTCCACAGGGAACCAGTAAAAAAGAAAACTAGTGTTTTATGAGTCCGTAAATCTCCTCTCCCTTTTCTCCCTTCCTGCTTAAGCCCCAACATGAACATACATGAATATGTACTCCCCCTGGGCACAGGTTTGAACCATGAGCATGAAGACTAATCAGATATGAGGCCACTTACCGCAAGTCGTATGGGGCCAGCAGATGCCCCTCCATGCACTGGGAGACCTACTGGCATCAAGCTGTTAACTTTCTTATTCTGCAGCCACCTGGAAGCCAGGTTTTACAGGAAAATTCTGTCAGTGGCCTACCAAGAAGATGTTCAGCTGAGTAATTCTTCCACCCAATCCGAACTTAACTCTGTATTGAGCTAACAATCTTAGGACTGGAGAAAGTTTTGCTGGGGTGGAACGATCGTAGTTAACTAATAAAAAGCCCTTTTAAAAAGAGGGACTAATTTTTTCCTAGCAGAGACGCACCGCAAAATACAACCATTAAAGAGTAGGTGGATTTAAGACAAGACATATTAAGAAATTTACCAAATGAGGGCGCCTGGGTGGCTCAGATGGTTAAGCGTCTGCCTTCGGCTCAGGTCATGATCCCAGGGTCTTGGGATCGAGCCCCACATCGGGCTCCCGGCTCAGCGGGGAGCCTGCTTCTCCCTCTGACCCTCTCCCTTCTCATGCTGTTTCTCTCTCGCTCGCTCTCTAAAAAATAAATAAAATCTAAAAAAAAAAAAAGAAAGAAAGAAATTTACCAAATGGTAATATTTTTAAGAAATAATTAACAATATTATTATTGATATTAATAAATTAATATTTAAGAAATATTAAATTTCTTTTAAAATAGTAAATATGAATAATATGTCTTAGACAAAGTTGCACCAGTGTATGTACTGAGAACATAGTACCAACTAAGTCAACGTAGAAGCAGTATTTTGTGCCTGACTGCATTACATATTTTATATTCAATATGACACTTCTCTAAATTCATTTCAAATGTTTAGTCAAGTTTAAACAAACAAAAAAAGAATTTTATTAATAGTCAGCCAATTAAGCTAATTAAGTCAGCTAATTTGCTAACATTTTAAATTAACTTTTGAGAATTGGTAGATAATATTTACATATTTGGTCAATTTTGTGGGTCATATTTTTCCTTTGGAACCAGTTATTTAATGTACACATGAGAATGTCTAGTTAATATTCATAGATACCAAACACAGCACTTTAATCAACATTTTGAAGTGTATGATATGCCAGGATAAAGTTACATGGTCAGAAACTCCTTAATGTATAAATTTAAAAGCACCATGAAACCTCTGAAGAAACAATTCAAAGTTTTGAAAAATAACTTCTTTAGAGTGTTGATACTTCTTTCCAAAATTAGTACTTCCCATCATTGTTTTTTGTTTTGTTTTGTTTTGTTTTTGTAAGTCCAGCATCTGTTGGGTGTAAGGGGCCTAGGGATGAGGGAATCATTGAAGTGGAGGGAGTATCATTGTCTGAAACACAATCATAGTGTACGACAAGATTTTGGTTTTTTAAATGGTACATTTCAGAATATTTGAGACTTTCTTAAATTTCTATTATGTATCTTTATAATAGGAAATAATATATTTTATTAAAACCCTCTTAGAACATAGATAGATGATAAATAGATAGATAAACAGATAGATATAAATATTTTTCTGGAAGGCCATAGACCGAGTTCATAAAATTGACCTGACTCAGCAGTACAATATATTAGCGGGTAACAGGTTATGCCATACAAGTTGTAAACATTTATTAAGAGAGATTATTCGTTCTTCCTCCCTTCAATAAATATTTATTGAGGGCTTAACTATTTTCAGGCTCATCACAGCTTGTCAGATTTAGAACGAGTGATATAAAAAAGTAGTTATCACATAAGCACTTTATTTTGCATGAAAATGAAAGAAATGCACCACTGTAATTTTGGAATAAAAGTGATGCCAGCAGGCATCATTTAGGGAATCACACTGGCGTTAGGAAAGGCTGAAAGGGTCATTCAGCGGGGCCAGGGCACACGTGTGAACACAGCCTCCCTCCATACTTTCTCATTAATAATCACTAGATTGACAGAGTTGAATTGCATGTGTTGTCCTCTATGGAAAATAAGGGTAAATGTGTCAGAATTCCCCCTTAGGAATACAGAAAGCAGTCTGATTTAAAGTCAGATTTTTTTTTTTTTTTCAGTGAAGGAAAGACAGATGTGGAATAAAACAGGCAAACTGGTTTGCTGATACTAAGGAAGATTTGAGTCCTGACACATTTAAGATGTGATAGTTTCTCATTCAGATAGGAACTCAGAGTTACCTTAACTACAAGTTCATTTATAAATGGAAAGGCATAAAGTCTGACTCTTTTCTTTTCCTTCAGCTCTTTAATGAATTTTTCTTTGTGGTAGCAAAGATTCTTTTTTTTTAATTAAAGATTTTATTTATTTATTTGACAGAGAGGGGGAGAGAGAGCACAAGCATGGGGAGGTAGCAGAGGGAGAGGGAGAAGCAGGCTCCCCACTGAGCAGGGAGCTCGATGCGGGGCTCGATCCCAGGACTCTGGGATCGTGACCTGAGCCGAAGCCAGACGCTTAACCCACTGAGCCATCCGGATTCCCTGTGATAGCAAAGATTCTAAAGCTATTTGATCAGCTCAATTTTGTATCATAGGATCAGTACCTTAAATGAATTTTGGTGAGCTGATTACGCTCTCACAAAGTCACGTGTTTAGAGATGAATGTGGGCATGAGGTTCCCAAACAGGTAAAATGTAGAAGGATCTGTCCACAGATTGGTTGCAAGTTTCATTTATTACTACATAAATTTACTGATTTTTTTTTTCCTTTCACTGATTGGAAAAGTTTGCATGGTTATTTTGCTTTCCCTCTCTGCACTATGAGTCAAGGTCTTCTAAGCTAGAGCCACATCTTAAATTCCTTTTCCCTCATCTCTGTCTCTTGATCTACACATTTTTCTTTATTTTGAATGGGGGGTAGGGTGGACAATATGGTGAGAGGTTCTGGCTTATTACTCGGGCACCAGCTATTCCTTTTATAGCACACAACTTTCTGACCAACTTCAGCGATATAAAATGAAATTCTTAGGAGTGGTGTTTTGACACAGGAAGATGTGTGTAGTGAACAGGTGTTTGTTTGGGACTGCACCTCCCTATTTGCTTGCATTTCACAGGAGAGGTAATTACACTGACAGGTATTAGATTCAGAGAGTGAGAAGCCAAATGACTTTTAAAGCATGAACAGAGCTTCCCGTGACAGGGATTTATTGCTGTGGTCTCTCAGGGGCTCTACATTTTCAGAGCTCACAGAAACCCCATCCCTGTTTGGAAAAATTTTTTTTTTCCTTCCTTTGCTGATGTCATCACTGTTGCTATGGAGAGGAAGTGAGTGCCACATGACATTGCTGGAAAAATCAACACTGAGGTATTTTTGTACAGCAAATAATCCACTTCATAGCTTGTATTTTATTAGCAGAGGCTTGCTAAAAATTGTCAGAACACCAAAAAGGAAACATTCATTTGCACGAACTACCTTGGAAATGAAAGTCTTGTGAAGGTGTACCAAAATAATTCCCTCCTAATGATAGTGAAAAGGATGAAATACATGACAGCCCATGTGAACTGAGGAAGAACAAAACATGTGTTAAACTATTAGGCATTGCCTTGTATTATTTGGAACTTGTATCTTAGAAATGTCCATCCCACTGTTTGAAAATCTATTTTTAACAATTGAGTCTTTCAGCTGAGTGGCACTACCCCACTGAGGTCTGAGCCTTTAGAGGAGGTTAGGACTGATGTCATTTTGTATCATTCCTTTCTATCTCCCTTTACTTCCCTGCTGAGGAAGCCAAGGTGCCAAGTCAGATATCAGGGGCACATTTATGATGTCTTAGTATCAATACAGGATTCTCGGTTCATCTGACCATGAGGCTGGAGGCAGTTACCAAAAACAGGATCCTAGACTCTTGGTGTTAAATGACAAAAGCCATTTTTAAAGACTTGTAAATAATATATGATATTTCTGTTAAAGTGTTCAGAATTTTACCATTATTAAGTAAATAATTAAGATTTTTCCATGAAGAAAGCACTTTGCCCAATCTGCAAGTTCTAGGAAATAGAAGAAGGGCTAAAGCATAACAGGATTTGGAGGAGGAAAGAAAGTATGTCGCTGCTACTTAAATGCCATTTCCATCTGTGGTATTTGGTGAGATCTCTGGAGTGACTGCAAATGGATACTCCCTTATGAAGTGGAAATATGCCTTTGACAATGTGCTTTTGATGCTGAAAACTGTGATGGGTTTTAATGAAAGCTATAAAATAAATGCACAATGTTTCCACCTCTGGACCTGTTGCTTGGCAGATTTACTGGTTGCATTTTTCTTGCATTAAGAACGTGTTTTATGTGAGTGGCTGATTTGTTATGTCTTTCTTTTCTTTTCTTTTCTTTTTTTTTGCTTGCAGTGGCACATCTAGTGATGAAATGTGCAACCTATACATTATGTATTACATGGAAGCCAAGCATGCAGTTTCTTTCATGACCTGTACCCAGAACGTAGCTCCGGATCTGTTCAGAACCATACCACCAGAGGCCAATATTCCAATCCCTGTGAAGTCTGATATGGTTATGATGCATGGACATCACAAAGGTAAAACTGGTATTCATTTAAAGTAAAATATGATTTTGTATTTTATATTTTCTTGTATGTCTCACTTGACTATATAATTAATATTTAAAATCATCCACCTTCTATCAATCACATGTACACATAATCCGATTCCCACTTTTCCCTCTTTTTAACCTATCTACCCTCCTGACATGCCCCCATCAAAGCAGTGAAAGTGAAGAATCTAGTGATGAAACAGACTAGTTTGGGGACCAGTTCAATAAATGTAGCTCTTTCTTCATTTAATTCATGTTTTCTCACTTCCCCATTTGATTCTTTCCATAGCCAGTAATGACTTATGCAATTTATGAATTTATATGCCGTGTTCAAAAGAGTGCTTTGGTTTGCCAATGAAAATGGTTATCGTCTCCAACCATACCCTAAATTATCTATTTTAATGGGCCTCCTCAAGCAGAGAAGAGTTCTTGATTTATGAGGCATTACTAATCTTGGCCATTTTGGTCTCATTCTCAGAATTGTTGATGAACTTACTCTTCATCTGCAAAATGATCATACTGATTGTCATTTCATTAGTTTAAAATTGCAAAACCCACACCCTGTTTTATTGGATGAAG